AACAAGTCCTCCGGGAGGGACTTTAAGCCGTGGGTCCCGTGTCGTAGATTTACGGCAAGTAAAAGAACCTCATGTCTCTAGGAGACCTCTGAGCAAAATTAGGCAAATTTCCCACCCAAGTAGTTTCCAATTCCTCCAGTAGATGGGGGAAGTATTAGGTACCACTGCCAGAGGAGGTAGGAACCTCGCTGGCAGAAAGGAGCTGATAGTAAGCACCAGTACTGGTAGGGTATGGAGACAGTAGAAATTAAAGGGGGACGCACAATGGACCACTAACCAGTCTAAGTGCATGGGGAAACCCACCCCCTCAATACGGAATATGGAATGACTTTGTCTTTCTAAGTGAGTGCTGGTACAGTATCTTAAAATAAGTAAAAACTACCTTGCTCCAAATCCTAAGCTACTAACGAATCATGATCTTTCCATCTCATTTTATGTAATTGAAACACCATCATTAAGCTAAAAGTTGGTCATAAGAATCAACGAACAGACTGTACACATACCAAATTAAGAATAAGATCTCTCTATGTCCAGTTGTGTAAAAATTATTACACCAATTTAAATAATTCACATGAAAGGACTGAAGAAGCTATGAAATGAGAATGAAAATGCCTGCTACTTGTTTCTTACTGAGATTGGCATCTGAATTCATTCATTCGTTGTAATATGTATTTAAAAATTTTATTCTTGAAAATATTAATGAAATAGAAACACACTCGCTAAAGCAGACAGAAATAATATATGTCTCAAATGTTCACTACATTGTAAGCATTAATATTTTAACAACTTATATCTTAGCATCTGTAGCCCATAATAAAAATGTTGTGTTAAGAAGTCATACAATTTTAAAGTAAACACGACAGACCCAGTGTTATGGTTTTGTGCAATATTTTTTATGTTCTTTGTTTTAGGAGATGAACATATAGAATGTGAATCTGATGATCAATGCCTGGACAATCAGTACTGCAACCTTGTGACAAAGACCTGTGATGACCCTTGTTCCATTCAAAAATGTGGAGAGCATTCTTTCTGCAATGCTTCAAATCATAAAGCAGAGTGTCACTGTGTTGCTGACTACTTTGGAAATGCATACATTGGATGCAGTATGTAGATTTGTGCTTATTATGTATTCTTTGCTTGTAGTAGAAATTTCTACTGTAGATAAATGTAGTAGAAGTGGAATTTATCAAATGAAAAGCCTGGATTGTCCACTAAAGTATGTTGGACACAGAGGAAGAACATTTAAGACCAGATATAAAGAACACATTCACAACAGAAAAAGTAACAATAGTAACTCCGGATATCCAAGTCATATATTGAACGCTGGACAGACATATGGCATTGAGAAGTATCTTATTTACAAAACCATTAAGGAAAATCTACATATGAATGACACTAATATTAATACACACACCCTGTATTTGAATAATTATACAAAATTTACACAAAATACCACCATTCCCCACTCTACACAACCATGGCATATAAATACGGAAACAAACACACCACATCTGCACTAGTGAAGACAACACCACATGCTGCTAGAGGGAACAACATACAAACAAGGGGCATGTGAGTATAAAGTAAACCAACATAACATATCATAACCTTAACAACAACAATCAAAACAATATTAACATGTGGCATTTTGAAAATTAAAGTTTGCAGACGTAACAGACCAACGGGCTAATGAACAGAAGAGCAAGCTACCGGAACAAAACACATGGAGAGAAACATATAGTTCTAAACAAATGGATGATGTCCCTTGTAAGGTGGAATACAATTTCACCAAAGTGGTGAAAATTTTAATGAATTTTATTTTATTTTATTAAGTGCATTACAGCATGTGATTTTACCACATATTAATGCAGTGTAGCAGTTTTGATATATTAAGACACCTGAAGATGGCCATCTATGGCCAAAACATGTTATGTTAGAGTATAAGTGGAAGAAAAAGGAACAATTGACGGACTGTGTTATACATAGACATTTTAATGATATATTCTTGTAAGTCTTGTAGGTCTTTGAGATGAAAAATGCATACCCAGAATTTTAATTGTGATTAAATAAAAGAAGCAACCACTTTGGAGCTCAGGATATAAATTGGAAGATAATGTTCAAATGGACTTAAACTGTGTAGAAGTATGGATTGGATTCAACTACCTCAGGATAGAGTAGAGAGGCAGATGCTTGTAAACTCATTATTGAAATTTTGGATTCCATATAAGATGGGATTTTCTTGACCACCTAAGCTTCTCTCTGCTTCTCAAGAAGTGACCTACTCCATGGAGTTGGTCACGTTCATAGTACTTTAATACTGTCTAGGGTCTCATGAAATTTAATTTCAATTTGCAGATCTCAAGTTACGACCCCGTACGGATTTCCCACAACCAAAAATGGAAGTGAACTGTCTGTCAGATGGAGTTCAAGTGGGAATTATATTTATTAAACAACAAGGCTTCAACGGTGTTCTTTATGTGAAAGGACACAGCAGAGATGAACAATGTCGACGGGTAATCACCCTGTCTAAAGATTCCCCATCTTACACAGAGATCTTCAAGGTCAACTTTGGCAAATGTGGACTCATCCATGTTAATGCAAGTACCATATATATTCATTTCTGCGTGTTGTTTGTTTCACTACAGCTTAAGTTTATAACATTTTTTTTTTCCTTTTTTCATAGACAAGGCCTGTTTCAGTCTCAAATTTATACTTGAAATTATCATGCAGTTGCTCTGCATAAGGCATTCAATTTGTATTAGGTAAATGTATAGTTTTTTTATTGCTAGTGGGGTGGGACTAAGTCCCTTGTACTGCGGCCACTTCTGGCCTATTGTGCCAGGAATTAAATGTATAGTTAGTATTATAATGCGTAATCATTTACATTAAAACACATCAGAATTATCCATCATAACTATGGAACATGGTTAAAAATAGGCAAATGTAATTCAAGATGTTATCAGTTCATTTCTTGTAACTGAGCTTGTTACTTTTTCAGGGTCAGGCAAGCTTTGTCCTTGTCATCCAGAAACATCCTGAGCTTGTGACATTCGAAGCCCAGGCCTATCACATAAAATGCGTATATCAGACTGGTGAACAGAATGTAACCTTAGGCTTCAATGTATCCATGTTGACAACAGCAGGAACAATAGCTAACACTGGTCCACCACCCACATGCATCATGAAAATTATAACTCAGACAGGACAGGAGATAAACCAAGCTGAGATCGGAGACAATCTGCAGCTACAAGTTGAAGTTCAGCCAGCAAGTGAGTAGCTTCCCCCCCCCCTCTTCCCAGTAAAAGATATGACAGTAATGATTTTCAAGTATAATTGCATAAAACCTTCATTACTTTCATGCAGCCATGGGTTATAGTAGAAACATTCCTGAATGAGCCACCCACATAAGCTGCACTGAATATTACTCAAATTTAAACTTGGATCTCATCATCTACATTTATCCATGAAGCATGGCAAGGTCTACTGTTATTATGTGACACAAATCAATCATGCTTGAAGCTATTAGCAAGGGAAGTAACTAGAGGGTCTTTCTCTTTTAAATGTTTGCAGTCTAATTCTCAAAAATGACCAGTTTATAGAAAAAGTATTACCATAAAAATTTATCTCAGTCATTAGTACATTGCTGATGTTTAATTATTTTTCTTATTGCATGTAATAATTCATGCAGATTAATTAACTTTCTTCATTTTCTGCTACTCAAGCCCAGAGAAGAGTATTGTGTTGTTCAGTTTTACAAAACAGGTTGCCTCTTCTTGAAAAGCTTATAACACTATGTTCTTTGATTTTTTTTTTTCAGTATAGTCTGATTGTACTATTTTGGACTTCACTTATATATATTAATAACATTCAGTATTAAATTAAATCAAAATCTATAAATACAACACAACATTTCTTTTAAGTAAACTTTCATTCAGAAAAAAAATATTGTTACAATTTATGTAGAGATTTTAATTTAACTGGGAAAACAGTGTCATCATTCAAGTAAATAAAATATTTCCTGTTCACTTCAATTACCTTTCTCCTTTCCCAGCTATTGGCTTTGTATTGCTGTCTGCTACTCTTCATTCCTACTGCATATTTTTCAGCACAATTGTATTTTAAATAGGCTATTGTGGCCTGACATGGGGACTTAACCATCAACTATAATGTTGTATTTTTCAGTGAATACATCCTTTTGTGTATCATATATTATTTCTTACTGAAAACTGTCATAACACAACAATCAATAATACGTGTAACAACTTTTAACTGTACTTTTCACTATGTAACTGGTTATTTAAGACTTCAACTTTTATTGTAATTTATATTTTATATTCACTCGTATCATTTTATACCACTGTATACACTTGGAAGTTTAGCACTGTTTCCTATATTTGAAATGCAATTCAATAACAAAAAGTTTAATGTATTTGCCTGATGATGGCCTTTTGAAGGCCATAACATATAGCAAAAATATTTCTTATAGCTACTTATGTGTATTATTGATTGTTGTGTTATGATGGTTTTCAGTAAGAAACAGTATACGAGGGGCAGTCAAAAAGTTCCCGGAATGGTGGTATAGCACTCTAATGGTAGGACATACGGCAATGCTTACCTAATAGCCTTCAAAGTAGGACCCTTGTGTGCACACACACTTGCTCCATCAATCTTGCCATTGCTGGAAGCAACGGTGGAAGGCTTCTTTTGGAATCTTCTGGAGCTCAGCCGTTGCATTCGATTTGATGTCCTCCATGGTTGTGAAACGTGTCCCCTTGAGGCCCATTTTCAGAGTAGAGAACAGCCAAAAGTCACTCGGAGCGAGATCCAGAGAGTACGGTGGTTGAGTGATGACAGGAATGTTTTTCTTGGCGAGGAATTGCTGCACAACAAGCGATGTGTGGCTCAGTGCAATATCATGATGCAGAAGCCACTTGTCGTGCCACTTCCTCCAAACTGCATCTCGCAGCCTCTGCAAAACTTTCAGTAGAAATGGCCAGTAACAGTACCAGCTCCATGATGGTCATTCTTTGATCACATCAAATCAGTTGCCGCACTTTTCCAATCATTTCTTCGGTTCTGGATGTCGAAGGTCTCCCACTGCGCTGGACATCCTCTAATGTCTTCTGTCCATTCTTAAACCAGGAAAACCAGTTGTAAACTGCAGATTTCTTTAGTGCAGTATCACCATAAACTTGCTGCAGGGCCAATAGCGTCTCTGAAGTAGATTTTCCAAATTTGCACATGAACTTGATGTTCACACGCTGTTCAAACTGCGACATTGCGCCGAATGACCAACACTTACGTCTAATTCAAATGGAACAGTAACGACACTGCACACTGAAACCTGTCCGGACCTGTTGTGCCTGCGAGCAGACATGCTGCGCTTCCCACCACAACAGTTTGTGCGCTATCTTATCTCTCGTTCTCCGTCTGCAGGGGAATTCTGGGAACATTTTGACTGCCCTGCATATAATGTTATATATATGGGAAACTGAGTTCCAATTTCTGTACATAAGACCTACAAACTTTTCAAAAGCAATGTATACACAACTTGGTGACATCATGTGCTCATAATCTCAAGCAATACAACAAAAGCACTAGTCTCAGAAATGTGTGAAGTAATGTGCACAAATGTTCAAATAAGATAATTTTGGATAGTTTGTGAATTTTCATTATTCATTCTTCCTCTTCACTTCAACTTTATACTGCATAACTGTGAGTGTGCTCTACTGACGATGGTTTGTCATGCGGTAGTAAACTTCAGCAATTTGTAACATTTAAATTAATACATTAATTTGTTACTTATTCTGTTCAAATTTTAGGTATTTATGGTGGATTTGCACGTAGTTGCATTGCCAAAACAATGGAAGACAGTGTAGAAAATGAATATGTTGTAACGGATGAAAATGGTTGTGCAACTGATCCTACAATATTTGGTGAATGGGATTACAACCCTGACACCCAGTCTTTACTGGCCAGTTTCAATGCATTTAAGTTCCCAAGCAGTGATAACATCAGATTCCAATGTAATATCCGAGTTTGCTTTGGAAAATGCCAACCGGTAAGTACTGTATAAGACAGCGAAGGCAGACCTTGTGGTACATTGTTTGTTAGTGCTTCTAAATACTAAAAGAAAGCCCCTTTAATATACATTTATATTATCTATAGAAGGTTTTCATTTATTCTTCAGTATGTCATAGTTCAAACCAAATATTCTCATTTTAAATTTCTTCCATTTAAGGTTCTCCCCAGTTCAGCTTCAGATCTATCAACTGCCATAGATGTTTTAAATTGTAGTTTCATCGACCATAACTATCATCTTGAATTTTGAAAATATGTAAGGTTTCTTATAATCATACAAATTAGTGTAAACCCTGAATTTAGGCAATTTTATAGAACTGTACATTGTAAGGCATTCAGGCAGGAAGACAAGGGAAGTATATGCATCAAATTTGAAAATTAGTGCATTCTAATATATAGTTGCCAAGGAAAGGATGCAAGGATGTGTTGTATCTCTAGATTATCAGATTTCTATTTATGTACACTTTGATTCTCCTAATTACTAGCAATTATTTGAGCATACCCAACAAGGCAGGTCATTCTGCATCTTGACAGGGAGGTGCAAAGGAGGCTTTCACATTTCCCTTTCCACCTTCTATCATTATAATGCATTATTGGCCCTCTTTGCATGCTGAACACCCACCACATCATTCCCATATTCAACATACCATCCCCATACAGGGTCTTACCATGTACCTCATCTTCCTGTTCTACGATTATTTATTTATTAGTTGTTAGAGCATTAATGTTATTAAACCTCTACCTCACCAGCAAGGATTTTTCCTATCTCCATGGTTTTGGTGCAACTTATGTGCAATTTATATGTCCAGTAGGAAACTCAAGAGATGAAGATTGAGTGGATCCTCCTCACTGAACCTTTATGCAAATTCACGTTAGATCCTTAGCCATAATGCAGTATCCCATTCAATGCCTACAGCCATCAGGCTGTATGACCATTGCTTTCAGTGTGCCATGCTGACTTGTTACTGCTGACTGGGAGCTGAGATATAATCAGCCATAAATCCTCTGGAGCCATGTAAGCTTCTTAGGCATACATATGTCTGCATGACAGACTGGGAAGTCATGGTAGAGGCATAAAATCACAGCTTGCTCATTGTGTAGGACTTGCCTTTAGGGTTATTTCTTCAGATCGTTTCATGGCTGAGGTCTCCACACTGGCACAGACCAAAAGATTTATGTGTCTATCTTCACTTTGACTCCCCCTTCCCAGTGGCAGGCTGATGCTGACTGTTCCTACCAAAATGGCTCCAGTGTGCCCAAAATTACTATCACTACTATCACTACAAGGTAAATCAGAAAAATCTGCTGTCCCAGCTACAAAGACTGTCCCTGTTATAATGCCGGTACTGAGATTGATAACAAAGAGACTCAGAGTTTCAGGCATGCAGAGAATACAATGAGAGGGGCAACCCCAGTTTACCGTATTTACGCATGTATAGGCCGCAGCATAATTTTCAGACAGAAATTATAGAAAAAATAATTTTCTTGGAATATTATTTCAGGAGTATTACACCCTGTATTACTAATTATGAATATATTTTTTTTTTAAATGAAGTGTGATTTTGAATATTTCGAATATAAGCCGCACCCCAGTTTTCCTCTTGAATTTTTGGCAAAAAAATGTGCGGCCTATACATGCGTAAATACGGTATATTCAGAAGGCTATAGACACAGTCAAGGATGTGTCCCAATTGAAGAATTGTATGCTCTTATTGGAGGTGCACAACAAGGAGCAAGCAGAGACCGTTCTGAAAACCCAAACCTTTGTGTCTGTGTATCCCCTCTATCATTGCGAGGCAGTGCCTCAGTAGACAAGTTCCTGCGGCAATAAATACACATACAACAATAGAAGAACTGTTGGATGCAGTATTTTCTATGCAGTCCATGTCTTATCAGATAATCAATACCATTTTACACATTCTGCAGGAATTCCCACATTAAGATAAAACCCACCAAGCATTGCATCGTCATGGAAAGTTATTCAGTGTTTTAGGAGATGATCATCATAATGTATCTAGCGTTGTGGCATTCCTTCGTGGTGCAAGGGTTGGCATCGTTATTTAACTCACGTTATTTTATTCCAAAGTTTGAGACATTTTACCTTTGTTGTTTTTAAATCTGACTGACCCATATGAAGAATTCTTAACTCAATTTCTGCTGCTTTTTTACTCTACATTTTATTTGTGCTATTAGTTGCACCACATTATGCCATTCACACATGTTACATGTTACTAGATTTTATAATCTCTTATTTACTTCAAGTTTACCCAGGCACATACAGCATAAATACATGTTTGCATAAAGCTGAAATGACTAATATAATAATTATACTGGAAATGTCATAAAATGAAACTACATGAAGCAGGAATGAGAAATAGACCCTTTACTTCCATTGAAACTGTGAGGTTAACTTAAGTTAATTTTTTTTATTAAAATATATTAAATTATTACAGGTGAACTGCCGAGGTTACAATGCATTTGGACGACGACGACGTGAGATTGCAGAGCCTCGAAACAGTACAGATGTTGGTGTATCAGAGTCTGTTTATGAAGGTCAACTGAGAGAAGAAATTACCATCCAGTCAAATGCTATTCTCACATTTGAAAGGCGTGAGGAGAGATTTGTTGATCCAACAGAAGGTATTTTATAATTTTCAGTGACACTATTGAGCATCAGAGTTGTTACCTCTACACCTCTTACTGGAGTACAGTAGTCATTTGTTCTGGCTTCTATGAGTAAAAATTTATAATAAGAAGATTGTTTCTTTCCCCTGGAAAGTTCTAGTCATACGGCAACTAAAATAAATAACAAGTGGTTTGCTAAAAGGAAAAAGGAAAAGTATCAATTGAACAGCCTGGCAATGCATGTCTCTTGAGTAAGGCACTGTGTTCTGTCAGTAATATATTATACATTGGCATATTCCATAAGATTGACAAATAAAAATTAACTATATACAGGGTGTCCCAGGAGGAATGTGCCAGACTTCGGGAAGGTGTTCCTTATGTTAAAGTATGCCGATATAACCCAAAACACCTATGTCCAAAGTTGACTGGTTATGGAGATAATGGCCAAAGAAGTGTGAAACTTTGACAGGTGTTACACACTTGTTGATTACCAAATATATATTAAAACTGGGAGGAATACGTGGTTTCTGTAATGTTAATAATGTATGTAACATCAAACTAACTTGTGAGTAACATGAAGCCATTAAATTGAACTACAAAAATCTCTTATGCCATGTCATAGTTGTCATTAGGGTTCCAAGCACTATACATGACACATGAATGGCAAGCACTGATGTAACATGGCTGACTGCGCATTCTGGTATGCGATTGTATGCAGCTAGTGTGAAGCATCATCACCACACTCAAGGACAAACATCGATAAGACTTGTCAGCTGACAGGTACAGTGCGTGGACCCACCAGAAGACCACACATTTCTTGGGCCATTATCTCCATAACCGTTCAACTTTGGACACAGATATCTTGGGTTGTATTGGCATACTTTAACATAAGGAACACCCTCCCGAAATCTGGCACATTCCTCCTGGGACACCCTGTAGATTATTGTCCCCAACTCAGTTTGTAGAAAGACCAAAGGTCGTTTTCATTATTTGTGAAATACAACAATATAAATCATTAGAACAATATAAACTACCAAAATCTAAAATTCGTAACTAGAAAATCAAGATTCCACATTTCTGTTATCAAAAATACAGTAAATCAGCTGTCTTCAGAAAAACAATTATTGAATTTTTGGATAATGGATACTGTAAAGAAGTTCAATAATTATATTAATATACTGTGACATATGAACGCACTCAATAAACACCCTGTGATACACAGCATGCAACAGTGGAACAACGAAGTTGTACAACCCGCTTCTCTACAGCAGCTAGCTGAACACATTTCCATGCAGATATAATGGCATTACATTCCAACAGTAAACAAATGTCATGTGATCACTGTCTCCTGTTGTCATGTCACCGCAGGCAATGAAAACACAGCCTCCTCCATTTTTGCATAACCTAGCAATGCACTGTGTTTACAGAGCTGTTGCTGGCAATGCATTGATCAGATCTGTTACAATACCATCATCACAAACTTTAAGATCTCTTCAGAAGGTTTTAGAGACTCATTAATCATAAAAGTGTTATCTTTTTTTTGTGTTTTGGGACCATTTCTTTGGTAATAATTTGCTGATGAATTTCATTTAGTTATATTAATATATTATTATTTTGTTGTTATTATTGTTTGAAAATGTCTTATGAAGATATGTTTCTGTATTGTTATTTCTTTAAATGCCAAGATTAATTGTCCTTACTAATTTATTTTGCAGCACCTGATCTGCAGCAGATGGAGGACATATGTGTGTCAATGATAGGCTTCATCATTGCTTTGGTGATCACAGCACTGTTAGCGCTTGTAGCAGTAGCTGTAGCAGTGTCATGCTGGCTGATGGCCTACAGGAGGAAACCCAAGACAACAGGACCTCTTCCCCATCCACCTGAATTCCCCAACCCACTTTTCACAACACCAGAACCTGTAGCAGAGCCATCACCAGACTACCTCTCTTAATGTGACTGTATAAACAAGTGAAACCAAAAACATAGGACATGATGTGCAAAATCATGAAACTATATTTAATTTTAGCAGGAGATTCACTGGTTAGCGATGTATCACTGAATTCAAGAAGTTAACCAATCCACCGATAGTGACTTATGCCATTTATGAAATGGATGATGAGTTTTTTATGATTGATTTTTATACCCTGACACCGAACTTTAGCCGATTTCTGTAGTGTACAATGTCAGTGAGATAGAGGGATGAAGTTTCACAATTTCATTGTCAACCAGAAATATTAACTTCTTCCCAGTACAATGAATCATCTTCCTCTTAGTTGTGCACTATGTTTTGTTATGTGAATGTTTGTTTTAATTGTGCTGTGTTAATGAGAAATATTGAAAATGCATTGTTGATTGTAGATGTTGGTGTCAGAAACCCGGTGAGTAATATAACGATCTTGAATGTATTTTCGTAGTAGTCATCTCCTCCGATGGCTGTATGAGAAACTTACAATGATAATGTAGTATTGCAGGCAGGGGATTTTTTTCTTTGGTGGTGGTAGCTAATTTGTATATAATTATTTAACACTGTAATTACTTTTCTATATCAAATTTAGAACATTCTTTTCTTCTTTAGAATTTCTTCAGTTGAACTCCTTTCAGATTTGGTGCTAATTCCACAAAATATTTCCATTCTGCACCCCTTAATACTTACATTTATGTCTAGAGGTCATTCCATCTCCATTAAACTGCAAAGGTAAAAGTGTTAAGCCATTGGAGGATTTGTGAGTTTTATATATGACTATAAATATAATATATATTATAAATATTAAGTGTATAGAGTGCAAGAATATGTGTAATGTATGTTCTAGAGTAGAGTGTCCACTCTGCTCTTGTGTGAAAAGACTGGGAGCAATGTGCTTATCATTTGTTTTCCTCCACTTCTACTAAAGAAAAATTGATTCATTAACATTCCGTATACATATGCTTCATGTAATTCTCCCAGTCCTTTCCACATCATGTTGTATATTTAATTTGACTGCTTGGAAGAATTTAAAATCTTCAAGTTAGTGAAGGAATTCAGGATCCAGTACTCTTCAACAAAATCATCATCTCAATTTGCCAAATACTGTGATCCTAAAAGGAATCAATGTTGTGGTGAACTGAGATAAAATTATTATTATTATTATTATGTGCTTAACCATATTAATTTCCATATATGGTTGTTACAGAGACTGCCAGTTTGATATTTCATTTTTGTACTTTCATAAGCTTTGAGCTTGGAGGTTAATAACTTCCCTGAATACAACTGTGAACCATTCTGAAAGTGGGCATGCATATCACCTCATAAGTAGGGAGTTTTCCATTAATAGTTACCAAATATCTAATCAGAGTTTCTAACATAAGCACATTTCACATTTATCTCTGGATGTGAAATTTTGAAATGTTCAAATGCTAATTGTAAAATATGAAAACAGCTAACAATGAGTAACATTTGTTCTGCAATTTAAAAAGTGATTACCCTTTAAATTACTATGGTCAGCTTTTCTCCTGCTCTGAAGTTATGAATGTAGAAGTACTTCAGTAGAACAAGAATTGTGTCCTTTCCATTTTTAAATTTGACATTTTATAAATATTTTTATATTTTTATTGGATCACTTAAAATGAAAGTCAAGCATCTGAATAACACAACCTTTTCCTAAATAAAGCATTAAATATACGTGTATATTTCTACACATTCACATTTAATTTGATTCTAACAAATAATAAAAGAAATTGAAATCTACCACAATCACTTTATATCTACAGCATTTGTTATACAGAGTGTAGTATATTTTAATTTTTCTGTTAGAATCAAGTTAAGTGTTTATTTCAGTTTAACAGTATATTTGAAACATCATATTTGCCAACAAATTGTAAACAGTGTAAGATCTAAAAGTTGGTACATTCCTACAAGTATTATGTTTTTGGACATTATCCATCATCCTGTCTATTTTCTAAAAAATCGTCCTGTTTATTTTTCAAAAAACAACGTTTCGGAGACTGGATTCTGTCCCCATCCTCAGGTAAAACCTACCCAGTTGGGTCTAATAGTATTTGAGCTAGTCCCTATCTCTGGACTAGCTCTATCTGTTGGACCCAATGGGTAGGTTTTACCTGAGGACAGGGACAGAATCCAGTCTCCGAAATGTGTTTTGAAAAATAAACAGGGCGATTTTTTTAGAAAATAGACAGGATGACGGATAATGTCCAAAAACATAATACTTGTAATACTTATAAAAAATGTATTAGAAAATGTATAATTTACATTTGAATATTTTACACATCATCATTCAAGAGGTTTGGCCATCCAAATGTTTAAGTAATGTGCTTCTGTTGGGGATTTTGGTGGGAGTAGTTTTCTAAGATTGCTGTCAATGTTTTTCACAGTGTTAAAAGTATTTGTGAGTGTTTCTCTCATTCTTTGTTCTTGTAGAATAATTTGATAGTTCCTGTTTCATTGGCTAGCCAAACAGTCATGGCTTTGGAAAAGGAGATATGCCATGCCCATAATCATGAATGTACTAATCACACACAAATCTTAATATTTTATTTATAATAATTTCTGTAATACTCTTTCCAAATGTTTACTCTACTCTGTAATACATAACAATACAGCATCATCTTTCAAATGTGATAATTGCTTAATAAAAACTACATAATAATTTGTCTTCTGTTTTTGTTTCCCATATATGGACTATTGTTTCTTGTAAGGGACGCCATAGAAGGAGTGTTATTTGGTTCCTGTGAACAGATTGTTAAAATTACAAGAATTTTCTGGAACAAGCTATAAAATTCATTCATTCATTCATCTGTAATTTGTCAATACGACAGGTCCACGGTCTCTTCCAAAACAGTTCCTCCACTTGATGCGATCTAGAGCTTTCTCCTTCAAATGAGAATATCCTGTTCTATCCCCAAGGTCATCCAGCATCTTCTTACATCTTCTTCCTCGTCTTCTGGTCACTTCTATCCGCCCCTCTATCTTTCCTTCAATAACTTCTTTTAGAAGGCAGTTACCGCATAAGTATGACCAATTCAATTAGCCTTCCGTTTTCTTATTTCGTATAGGATATTCCTCTACTCATGGACTCTAAATAACACTTCTTCATTTCTCACATAATCGGTCTAACTGATCTTCCCCATCCTTCTCCAGCACCACATTTTGAAGCTTTCCAGGTGTTTTTGATCTACTGCCCTAAGTGTCCAAATTTCAGCCCCTTACAAAACAATGCCCCAAATGTAGCATTTCACTAGTTTCTTTCTCAAATTTAAGTCCAATTTGCTGGTAAAAAGATTCTTCTTCTTGCTAAATGCAGCCTTTGCCATGGCAATCCTACATTTAATTTCACACGTACACCTATTCAATTCATGGATGGAAAATCTTTATGACAAACTGTTAAGCAGATATTTTTTATGAATGAATATATAATTCTTGGATCATAAATTGAAGAACCAGTCTCCCATGTTCTGAGATCAACTAAATGCTGGTCAGCTGTGATCCTCCAGTTGAACGCTGAGGAGGTTGTGATAAAATATTGATGGATCAAGAATGAGGGGTTAGGTATAGATGGGTAATGAGCTTCTCTCAGATTATAGTTGCTATCACAAAACATGCCTTAGGCATGCTGTATACATAAATCCCACAGGGACTGTCCTGGGATTGAACTTGGAAGTACACAGGAGATACTGCACCTTCATGTAAGTGCGTAGGCTACTGCACAGTTTGTTCTTGATTCATGTTCCCCTAAATACATTAACATTTCAGATTAACCCTATTTTATAATCTGAAATACTCTAAATGTTAGAAATAAGTGTGTACAAGTCATGAATATATGAGACTTCTTCCCTTATATCTCTTGGTAGCACTGGCATTGGCTCCCCATTTGGACGGAAGTTCATGGTATAAGGATGGTTGCCTAATGGCCTAAAGGGATGATGTGAACTGAATAGCCACTGCATATCATCTATACAGATAACCAACACAGGGTTATTATCTGCTGGAAAGGCAATTTGTGAAGAGGTGAGGATTGAAAAGTTTTTAAATGTTTTAATGGACCTTGCTATGTACTGACTAAATCCATTCAGCAGAGTTCTTCTTAAGTAGCTAATAGTTGTCCGGCTGGTAGGGGAAGTTCAGTGCCATGTTGACAAGAACACTTCACTGATCCATATCCTGAGTCAATGAAGTAGCGCATTCTTCTATGGCTTCACAAACTTAAAGAAAAATGTCTGCTAATGGAAAATGGACAGTGATAAATGAAATACTGAATATAAATAGATTCATAATTACAAATCAGAACAGTCCAAAGGGCTTCCACTTCTTATCTTTATTACTAAATAAAGAGTTCATGCAAAAGTAGATCACCAAATAACGTTTGTAATTCCAAAGTAATAAATATTTTAATAATACAACCATATAAAGAGCTTGGTTAGCGTAGTCGGTATAGCGACTGGCTATGGGCTGGGTGACTGAGGGGTCAGAGTTCAAGTCCCAGTAGGATCTAGATTTTTCTTTTCTCCATGTCATCCAGACCAGCTCTGGGGTTCACCCAATCTCCTATCCAAAAGATACAATTAAATAAAGATTAATGGAACTATATCAAAATACTGATTGAATGTGAGATATCTTATTTCATTCTACAGAGTTTTGTAAAACTCTTGTATTTTTTGTTTTTTGTCTATATTTAGGCCATTTTAATGTTATGCTATACCTAGGACTTCCCGGTGATCTGTTCCAGTCTCTGTGCTGTGTACTGTACAGACTAAAGTACAGAAATGTGTGCTATTATCGACTCAAGATTTTTTTATACATGTATTTAGTACATAGTCCTAAAGCTACAAGTTTGTGTCTTGCTCTGTATGGGTATGAAGTGTGGTCTCACATTCAAGAAAAGTACGCAGATTAAAAATAATTGATATAAGTGAATATTTGGACCCCAGAAGAAAGAATCAAAGGAGGTTGGAAAAGCACATAGTCTTCTGGGATAGCAGTGTGTACCCTGCAAGAATCCCATCGACATTTCAGAGGTAGGTTTCTACTGGGCTTATGAGTTTACATCACCAAAGATAGTACTGTTCATAGTAACTGCTGTGGAAACCTCAAATCCTATGAGGTTGGAGAAGATTGCAATCATGTGACGCTGTGCAGTCTGATAGAGCACTGACAGCCATTTTCAGGGTATAACTTATGTTAGTTAAAAGTTGATTATTTATTGGGGTTAGTCAGCTCAGTTACCATGGTTGCATATATATGCCGATCTGCTTAAATTAATCCAGTTGGAGAACTCACACTTGGATATTGGTAAACTAAAACCAAACTCCTTTATATTCTGTCTGAAATCTCTACAGAGTTCATGTAAACAAATCATCAGCTACAGGGAATAGCATGTTCACGACATATTGGCTTAAAGTCTGAGGGAGTTACCCTTATGCAGTACACGTGATGCCTTCCATCACTGCAGCAGTGCTTGTTGTTTGAATTTTGTTCATGCCTTAATGTTGGTTAAGTAGCTGCTAGTTCTGATTAATGGTTCTGTAAGGCTATTCATTTCTTCAGCATGGTTGAAAATTCTCAAGTGGGCTATTCTGGACAATATCTGGTGAAGAAAGATGCCCACTAAAATGCTTCCTAATTTGACGAATGAAATGAAACTGCTCTTTATGCAAATAAAACGGTATGGTGTTGTGGCATCATAGCTTTCTCTTCGATATGAAATGGCATTATGCAGTGTGCGACACCATGTATTATTGGGGATGGGATTCAATGAATGTCATACCAAACCAATGGTTTGCCAAGATCGGACAATAAAAATACCTAAGAATATTGTCTTGAAAATACTTTCAGCAATACTGAAAAATCCCTCTGGGAAAGGAAAAGTGGATAATTTCAACGTATATTGGCAATGGGAAGGGGTTTGTGATAACGACCCAGGAGTGTCTGAAATTCAGAAGCAAAAGGGTAGCATAAAGAAATGACTGAAGTGACTACATAAGATTGATTCCAGGGAATACTAATAATCTTGACTCTTACTACACTGCTGTAAAGTACAAATCGTCATATCACACGGTGAAGAAGGAGAATTTATGTACAACATCTTGAAACAACAAGAATATTTTAGTCTCACTAAAATCAATAGATATCCCCTTAGAGAACTCATGTATGTTGAAGGTGGAGATGCTAAGAAGTGTTTGTAAATACAAAGTATTTACGAAAATAGTGTAACAGATGAAATGAACAGATCACAAAATAAAATAATATTTCAAAGTATCATTGTGGACTTAGCCCTTTCAAGCTTTTACGGGCCCAGGTCAAGGGGTACGTTGTAACGCAGAAAATATCTTTGAGCTAACAGAATTTAAGAATATCTTTCAACAATCAATTGGACAGAAACTTGAGCTGAATATGTTGATGTAGATGGTAGGATGGAAAATTGCGAAATAATGCATACGGAGCAAAACCAGTGTTTTGTCAACTGCGCTTTTAGTCCATCATGTTAATGTTTACTCAGCTAGCAGTGGGAATGACATAAAAGTACATTATATATTCTTGGTTGGTAATTTCGTGTTTGTACACATAAATACAAAATGTTACAAAAGTATGCAGTGCTGAGTTGTGCAGGAAAATTCATGCTAGACAGCTAACATCTGGCAGCAAACACTGGAGATATCTTACAATTTTGACAAATGCCGTTACATTGTAAGGGAAAAAAAAAAACAGCTTTCCAGCTGCACTAATAGAATGATACCAGTACTCAAATAAAACCCATATTTAAAATCCTTCGAAGCACAAGGTTATATACCCAAAACCTAACCTAACCATACGAGAGCAGTGCGGTCGCACTTTATGCACAAAGTTTGAAGCAATGCAAATGCCAAAAAATCGGCAAGACTCACATACTTGTATGCGTTATTCCTATAAGAAAACGTGTCTTGAATTATGCGAGGTGTTCAGGGATGCATCCTCACATAAAACGCGACCACACTCTATATAGTACATAGTCATGTATGAGTACTCTTATGAGAAAATAACTATACTATTTCACGCACACATGATCCCTTGCAATTTGAATGAGTACTATGGAAGCCGGGTTAGCGTAGTCGGTATAGCGACTGGCTACGGGCTGTACTACCGATGAGCGGAGCTCGAGTCCCAGTATGGTCAAGAATTTTCTCTTCTCAAAGTCGTCCAGACCTGCCCTGGGGTTTACACAACCTCCCATGCAATGGATACCAGGGGCTCTTTCCCCGGGGGTTAGGCGGCCGGGGCGTGAAGTTGATCACTCACCTCCAGCTAATGCCGAGGTCAAGAAAATTCGGATCTATACATCCACTCCCCCATACGCCTTCATGACGTAGTGCCTAATGAGTTAAGCATAGGGACAACTTTACATTTTTACTACGAGTATTGTGAGCCGAGATACTAGTTCAGTCGGTATATCGACGGCTACTAGTTGGAATAACCGGTGTTCGATTCTTAACAGAGGCAAGAAAATGTTTGTTCTTCACAATATCCAGACCGGCTCTGGGACTCACCCCGCCTCCTATGCAATGTGTATAGGGGGCTCTTTCCCCGAGGGTAAAGTGACAGCGGCCTGAAGCTGACCAATCACCTCCACCTAGTGCCGAGGTCAAGAATGTTGGAGCTATACCTCCGCTCCCCATACGTCTTCATGGCGTGGTGATTAATTAATTAAGCACTTAAACAATTTTACCTTACTACTATATTGTACTTAGGTTTTTGTAAAATTGGACCTAGATACGACAATTCTTGATTATCTACTTATAATACATTGCCACATTGTAACGGATCTGTACGTTCAACATATATGAGCATATGTTTTAACCAACTTTGTGGCATATCACCTGGCTATGACCGCATGCGGTCGAAACATATAGTAAATGATAAGTATATGTTTTGGGGACGGTTATCGTATGACTTATGAAATTAATTATATATATACTTATTGTATATTTTAACATAATGTGACATGACGACTAAAAGGCGGAATAGAGGAACAAATAAATGCAGCCGTTGCTAGGCAACGGCGCGTTAAACACATTTCCGCAGCAAAGAATAGACACGCAGCCATTCAAGTGACTAATGTGCCGCTGTAGAATAAGATGCATACGAGACGCATGATCTGCTTTGCAAAGCCTGTACTGACAGAGGATTTGTATATAGTGCAAAAGAAAGAATTTTCAGTAACATGCTATGTGTGCGGTACGTACACTTGACGAAAGACCAAGCATATTCGTAAGAAACAAACCCATCCTCTCATCAGAGAGGCTGTTACATGAGGACTATTACCGCAAGGGTTCAGCTGAAAAAAGAAAATATTGGTTGTGGGTCTCAAGGGGCTTGTCACCAAGACGAACTGATTGGCAGTAAACCGCCACTCTGACTAACACTCTAGTCTTGGGCAGCAGGTGGAGTTTGACGCCAAGACAGACTGGCCAATTGACCACCGATCGTAACATAACTTTGAATATGAATTAATCGTGAGCCTGAGGTCGCCGTATATTTGGCTTCGATAAAACAGATTATCCTTTTTTCATTTTATAATTCATGGGATTCGTGTGATCCTTACATCTTAGGTGGTAATGAAAGAGTTGAAACAAGATACAGCCGTGAATTCAATACGGGTCATTCCATGTGAAATCATCCAGAGAGATCGCTCACAATTTTTTAAAAAATTCAAATTTTGTACACTTATTTCTACATATTTTCACACCTCAAAAATATTTTTTAAAAAATTGTAATCCGCCCGGTCCTCCCGGTACAGCCGTTTTTATAATGCGAAAAAAAGGCGTTTTCGGCTCAAATGGAGGTTTGCGTTATCTTCTATATCTCGATAACTACTGAAGCTAGAGACTCCAATGAAAAACTAATTTGTTCCTCATGATATGGGCAACAAATCACATCATTATAAGGATTCACTCNCATGAGGAACAAATTGGTTTCTTATTGGAGTCTCTAGCTTCAATAGGTATCGAGATATGGGAAATAACGCAAGCTTCAATTTCAGGCGAAAACGCGTTTTTCGCATTATAAAAACTTCGCTATTAGTTGAATATCAAAGTTGTAATTTTAACTCGATGTTACTCTAGAATAGAGCATTATTTGTTATGAGTTTAAAATTTTTCGGAACTTCGCCACCGGAGATATGAGACGTTAAATATGGCCGATTTGGGGCCCAGAGCAAAGTTTGGAAGCTCATGAAAAGTTTTAGAAAATAGGTACGGTGTTCAAAACTATGCGATTATGTTCTCCATATAGGAGAAAACAAAGGGTGGAAACCACAGATCTGATACTTTCCCCCTCCCATTGGTTTATGAAGGTCAAAAATAGCGTTTTTCCCAAAATCGATAGGTAAGTTTCAAGCTTAATTACATCTAGAGAAAGTGAGTTAGGTAAAACCTTGTAATAAATATGATTTGTTGCTCATATTATGAGGAACAAATTGGTTTTTCATTTGAGTCTCTAGCTGCAACAGCTATAGAGATACAGAAGATAACGCAAACCTCCATTTGAGCCGAAAACGTGTTTTTTCGCATTATAAAAACGGCTGTACCGGGAGAACCGAGCGGATTACAATTTTTTGAAAAATATTTTTGAGGTGTGAAAATATGTAGAAATAAGTGTACAAAATTTAAATTTTTTTAAAAATGGTGAGCGACCTCTCTGAATGACTTCACATGGAATGACCCATACGTCAAAATTTACCTCCACGCTCTCTATTCGCCTTCATGACTATGCATTAAGTAAGGGACAATGAAGAACAATGCCGAAGCAAAAATGTAACCTCAAAGCTATGGAAAGAAGCAATAAACAGCATTATGCCAGTGGTCTCCTTATTCCGAATGGGAAAATGCCTCCTCTCATTTTGAGAGATTATTAAATTCCGTGGCATGTAGTCCGCAAGCGAACTATACCGCCCGAGCGACCGCCGCTTGTCGGCGATGTTAGTGTCAACTTTTGCTGATAGAGGGTGTCACGTGCTCAGTGCAACGGATCCCCACGGCCGTTAATCTCGGTTCTCTAGACAGGAGCCACTATTTCCTTGAAATAGCTCGTCAATTATCCTCACGAGGCTGAGTGGACCTCGTTCCAGATTCACTACTTCCTAGAAAATCTGGTAGCGCCGGGAACAGAATGATAATGTACGAAAAGCACGTGGGTCGCTGATATACCAGCAAGCGAATGCTGCTTTCCATGTCTTTATCCAGTGACAATAGACCTGTAGAAATAGTAGCTAAGGGTAATTCTATGGTAACACAATCTGAAGGTGCAAAACCACCAACAAAGATGTCCGCTATTCGACCTCAACCTAAACCAGTTCTGACAACTTTTTATTGCCGAATTTTTTTTTGAGGGGGTGGGAGGGAACTGAGACCCATTTTCATACTGTTCTGTCTCCTTCTGAGACTTCTTGCGATCGATCTACATGACGTTTATCCAAACATAGTAACACGTTCATTGCAACTCCTTCGACCTGCGTATCCAAACACTCACTTCGAGACATAATTGCATCCTTTTCTCTCTTATTTCGTCTAAGGTCGCAAGGTGAACAAATGGTAGTATGAGGAGGTTCTACCAGATGACAGTGTAAGCACAAATGGCAAGTCTAGGCAGGCTGTTACTGGAGACGTATGGAGGCCACTCGAACCATTCACATAGGTTAGTATCGTTAGTATCGTGGTACTGTAGGTTGAAGTTAGTTCGGAATTAAAGGCTCTTGGCTCTAGGTTGTGCAGTGCAATAGGTCGATGTGTGGCGTACGTATGTGTCCCGGGCCTATTTGATATTCAGTGAGACAGGTGAGTGTGCTTTAAAAACAAAGTTTAAGTCAGTAACAGTCTCTTTTCAGCGTAAATATCTGCTACTAAAGGGCAAAGACATTTCTTTCAAGCTTACTCTGAAAACGTGCAATTGTATGATGAAGCCTTGAGTTGACAGTTGTCAAAATGGTGTAGGAGGTTATGCTTTGTTATTTTTAAGAGCTGTTAATAACTGAGTATATAAACGTTTTGTATAACGACTCGATGACGTATATTTGTTCATTTCACGTAAAGGGTAACGAGTAACGTTGTCAAATGGAAAAAATAAAATTCCTATAGAATGTGGTTCGAAGTTCCTAGTATATTTACGCGTATACGGTAAATATCAGACTATGACGTGCACTTATAAGATACAATGTTATACCAATTTTATATACTTTAATTTTCGAATATCAAAATTACAAATCATAAAAATCTTATTCTCTATCGACCTACTGCTAACTTAATAAGAGTGTCCGTAGTATCAGTTTTATTGCTACTTATGTGTGCAGAAAGCATAAAATGAATGCAAATTGAGCTGGTGTCTGTCCGTCGCCCGGCATACTTCACCTACTACCTGGCGGATTTAGATTAAATTTGATATTGGAGATCCACGGCGACTGTGAGGATTATTGTGGCGACATGTAGGCTGGTAGATGTCCTCTGATATTTCGGATGAATGTGATACCAGTATCTTTAGTCCTCTACTCTGAAGATGGAGATATTCCTCCGGAATATCTACCATACACCGTACTACCCGGTGTCAGGTGCGTAAGTCGACTCTTTGAGACATCTGATACAGCAAAAAGCCTCGTTTACCATACTGAAGTTTAGTAGACCCCATGTAAGGGATTTTGAAAGGGGGTTGGGGAAAGTAAAGTCATTAACTGAATGCAGCTAAGCGTTCTTGAGAAGCTAGTAGTTTTCCACCTAGTTAAAATATATTGTAATGTAACCTAAAATTGTATTTACGTTTCCGCAAAATCCCGCCAATGAAACTTATTCAGAGCCACTCGAATCCAGCCTATGCTCTCATGCCATATTCCTTTCAAATTTATATTTATGTTGTCGCCCTATCTACACCTAGTTCAACCGAGCCGTTTCATCTTTAAAATTTTTCCGATTTTAAATGTATATACGAGTATACATATTTCTTGCCTGCCAACTTTAGCGGAGAGAGGGTGTCGCGTGGTCAGCACAACGAATCCCCACAGCCGTTAATTTAGGTGTTCTAGACCGGAGCCGCTATTTCCTTGAAATAGCTCCTCAGTTATCCTCACGAGGCTGAGTGGGCCCCGTTCGAGACCCAGTACTTCTCAGAAAATCTTGTAGCGCCGGGAATCGAACGCGGACCTCTGGATCTGTAGCCAGGAACTCTGACCACTAGACCACAGTTGGCACTAACTGCGCCGACGAGCGGCGGTTGCTCGGTCGGTATAGCTCGCTTGCGGACTAAAACCACGTAGTTTGTTTTTATTTGTATATTTCTTACTTACCCCGCTCTGTACATGAGGAAACATAGGAATGTATGTAAGCATTTGTCTCCTTGTGAGAATATCACAAAAAAAAAAATTCGATAATGAAAATATCAAAATTCATGTCACCATCGGATTTTAAATTTTGAATCACAGAAATTGTAGTTGAAAGTGTGTTTGCATTGTATTCATTGTGTGTGGTGTGTCCTTTGTTATTTATATAGTTTTGTGTGCTGTGTTATGTTCGAATGTAGTGTGTTACTTGTGTGTTGCTTCTTATTGTAGTACCACTGCCACCGGTTAAAACCCCATTTGCAGCTAAAATAAATAATAATAACAATTTCAGTCTGAACAATTCCCTCCCTGAACTACCAGGCTTTACCGCGCCTTCTTCACTAGTTGAACACCAAATACGTATAATTTTTAACAGGCAAATAATGAGTGAATATATGCATTTATTGAGAATGTTCATCAGTAACATCTATTTTGAAGTGCCCAGTTCCGCTTTTATGAAATTCAGTCGCAATGAAGCGGTTCTGCGATTTTGATCCTTGCGGCGATTAACCATAAAGCTACATAGCGTCAGAGGTACGCCTAGGTACTTTTCGATCAAACTACACGGCGCCACATTCCCATACGACCATCACCTTCATTGTACTAGTAGTAGTAACTTGATATATTGATACGACATAACTACTAGGCCCCTACTCCTAAATTCTTGAGTGATACATTGCCTTCTACGTTGATATTTAGAAATGTACCGATGTCTCGAAACATTAAGACTACATCTGACGTCTTTAAAGCCATGTTTCTTATTTTCGGTTGATTCATAATGTAAACAAAGTAATTCATAATTATGTTAGCCTCTGGATAGAGACATGATTATTTTAAATGCGTAAATTGTTCGTCAGGTCTCTTCTTCGGTTGTGGGGACAGAGTAGTCTTGTTAGTTATGTTGTAACTACCTGAAACACACGGTAGCGTAGTTGGTTGAGGCATTATGCTACAAGCCGGAAAGTCGCGGGTTCGATTTCCGATGAGGTCATTTGATTTTTCAATTGACCTAATCTTTCCAGCTGCACTATGACCTTGGGGTCGACTCAGTCTCTATCAGTAATAAGTACCAGAAATCTTCCTGGGAGGTAAAGGGCGGTCGGCGCATAAAACTAAAAATCTCACTGCCATTTATATGCCGATTTTCTCGAAAATGTGGGAGTCTCGACGTCTCACAACTCTATGGGTCTCCACAGTCTATTACAGGAATAGAATTACCTTTTTACCTGAAGCGCCAGTTAGACTGGTCTGAATTAGGAGATGAAAGAATTTTCTGATATACCGAACTCAGAATATTTAGGCTGTGCTCCGGGTTATTCGCTCAGGGGTCTCCCCAAAACAGAAATAGAATCTGCGGATTTCATTGAGACATTTGTTTCTTTAATATCACGAAAAGTTTGTTTATATTTTAGTTATTATAAAAAATAATAATAAAAATGTCACATCCTGAATATTTTGCTACTGGTAGGTAGAGAATCTAGTAGGCTGTTTCGGGTTTTGTTCTCAGATATGACTTGTAAACGTTTCCATTTTAAAGAATCCACACATTTCAGAAGTACCGCCTCTGTGGTCTACTGCTCAGAGTTCCTAACTACAGATCTAGAGGTCCCGGATTCGATTCCAGGCTCTACCAGATTTTCTGAGACGTTATGGGCCTGGAACGGGGTCCACTCAGCCTCATGAGGATAATTGAGGAGCTACTTCAATGGAAAAGTAGCGGCTCCGGTCTAGAAAATCGAAATTAACGACCGTGGGAATTCGTTGTGCTGACCACGCGACACCCTCTATCCGCTAAAGTTGGCACTAACTTCGCCGACAAGCGGCGGTCTCTCGGTCGGTATAGTTCGATTACGGACTAAAGTCACGGAGTTTTTATACACATTTCAGAAATCATTTACTCAGAAAAACGTATGATACAAATTCCAACATACGAGACTCGATTTATTAAAAGTTGAAATTCGTCTTCAAATTAGGTGTTCATACATTTTCAGAAGGAGAGTTTACGGGACTGTTAGTTTTTCCTTTGTTCCAAATATGACAGACCTAATAAAGGCTGCAGATACTATGTAACTTTCTGCATTCTCACAAATTCCATAAAGAATTGAAAAGGCAATGGAGATTAAATTCTGAAATCTCCTGAAAGCCTACTGAAGACTGCTATATGAGTCCTTAAAGAAAATACTGCTTTAGTTCTTTAAAATAGGCCACCATATTTTCAATTTCAAGTTCATATATCTCATATCTCGTTTTATTTTAAGTAACGTTTGCAGTTGATTCATTGTTGATTAATATTGTTAAATATTTCCCAGTCATAATTTATATGAGCTGCTTGTTTCTCCCATCCAAGTCGGAAGCTCAGCCCACTGCTGTCTCCTGGGTTCTGCAACGTAACACGATGTTCTATATAAATAATTGTATTTTGTTTCTGCCAAGATACGCACCACTGACAATCTAGCAGGGAGTGAATCTCGTTAGTAACCGCTTTAAAACAAATATTCATAGAGGAAATGAAACACTGCGGCACATTTCTCTTTTTCAACAAGATCATATTGCACAGTTTGGCCAGTTGTGTCTTGGAATCCACATTTAAAATATTTCGATAGTGTAGAGTTCGAAAAGAAGTAGCAATGACTTCTGTACTTTGAACCAGCCAAATGGCTGCGATAACCCGCTTGTCGCAGACCGTAACAGAAGTACACGAGTTCCCGACGGTGAGAAACCGCTCTATAATCGCATCAGCTTGTATATT